GAACCCAAGCTCAGGCCTCTGCACCGCCCTGGGCCATGTCCCCAGACCAGTCCCATTTCACCCTGGTTTCTCAGGCCCCAGCTCTGGCTGCACCTCAGATTTTGGCATCTCTTGTGGCTGCCTCCAGCCGTGGCTCCTCCCACGGCAGGACAGGTGAGCAGGAGTAAATGGGGCCTCCTTGCCCACAGTGGGCAGTCTCCAGGGAGGGGTTCACCTGCACACAGCGGGCCCCCAGAGGCCACATGCCAAGCAAACCGTGCACACTGGCCAACTCGCCAAGGCCCTGCCTTGCCCCACCCAGACCAGGCTCCTCTTCTGAGAGCACCCTTCTTGTCAGAGCACCCCCTACACCGCACAAGGCTCTGCTGAAAGTGCTTTGCATGCACGTCTGTGATTCTCGACCACTCACCTGCCCTGTAGGAATCGAGGATGAACTTAAGTGAGAAGGACGGAGCTGGGTGCTCTGGGATTGGGGCTCGTGCCCCATCGTGAGTGGACTGTGGTCAGCTTGGAAACGTAAATGAACAGAGGAAGATGGTGAACCCCTGTGCTATGGTTCGGATCATGGTTTTGTCTCCCAAAGTTTTGTGTTCTGGAAGCTCGGTCCCCAGTGTAATGGCTTTGGGAGGAGGTGAGACCTTTAAGAGGTGGGGCCTAGTGGGAAGGCACCATCCAATTGGCTGGGGGCATGGGAGAGACAAACGCGTTGGCGAATCCTGCTTCCTCTCTGTAGTGTCCACTTTTTCTTTGTTTCTGTTGGCCACGTCGTGACATAGCACCAGAGGCTGAAGCGGACCTCATGCCTTTGGACTTTCCAGCCACCAGAATCTTTTCTTTTTTTTTTTTTTTCTTTTTGGAGAGGTTTTTGCTATAGGGCGCGTGCACTCGCCAGACAGAGAGAGACATAGAGACAGAAAGCGAGAAATCATCCCCCACGGGGGGATGGCCACGCTGCAATCCCTTCTCCTCCATTCTCTTCTCGGGATCTTGGGCACACACGCACACGCGCCCGGCATGAGTTTTAAGCCACCGGGTCCAGGACTTGAACCACAGTCGACTACACGGGAGTCCAGTGACATAGCCATTATGCTAACTGCTGGTCCCAAGCCACCAGAATCTTAAGATGAATAACTCTCTCTCTTTTAAGTTTTGCTGTAGGGCATGTGCACTCACTGGAGAGAACAGAGAGAGAGGAATGTGAGAAATCACCCCCAGGGGAGGATGGTCACGCTACATTCTTTTCTCCTCTGTTCTCCTCTAGGGATTTTGGGTACACACATGCACCTGGTATATGTGTGTATCTTATTGGTTTTTGTTTTATTTATTTACTTATTTTTAAATTTGCTATAGGGTATGTGTGCTCACCAGAGAGGGAGAGTGAAAAAGCAAGCCTCCAGGTCTGGGACTCAAACTTTGGTCAACCACATGAGAGTCCTGCGCCTTAAACACCACACCACCTGCTGGCCCCATACCTGGTGTTTTATGCCATCGGGTTGGGGGTTCAAACTGCATAGTCAGCCACATGAGATGCAGCCACCTTAACCTCCATAGCATCTGCTGGCCCGACCCCCTATTCTTTATTTTTTTTTTTGAGAGGTTTTTGCTATAGGGCGCGTGTGCTCGCCAGACAGAGAGAGACAGAGACAGAAAGCAAGAAATCACCCCCCAGGGGGGGATGGCCATGCCTCAATCCCTTCTCCTCCATTCTCCTCTTGGGATCTTGGGCACGCACGCACACGTGCCCAACATGAGTTTTAAGCCACCGGGTCCGGGACGCGAACTGCGGTCAGCTACATGGGAGTCCAGCGACATAGCCATTATGCTAACTGCTGTTCTTGCCCCTATTCTTTATAAATTACCCTGTCTCTGGCATTTCTGTTTAGCAACATGGTAACGGACCTACTATGCCCTGGTCCCCGGGTGACACCCTGGCTCCTCACCTCATGTTGAGTTCCTCCAACACGTTGTTGGTCTTGAGGGCTTCACCCACCGCAGAAGCTCCTGCATCGCCAAAGCCATTGTAGGAGATGTCCAGGACTTTCAGGAAGA